ATGTCCCATCTGTCCCATCAATGTCCCATCAGTGTCCCATCAGTGTCCTAACTATGTCCCATGACAACACTGCTTGCTGGTATACGAATAGCAATTCCTTAACTTTTAAATACAAAGTAATAATATAAAAAGTTAGATAAATAAATAATTGATCAAATTCTTACCATTTAAATGATAGTAACAGTTGCAATACTATTAATAAAACATTATAAAATATGTATTTGCATACAAATAATTATATTATTATGTAGAAAACAAACAGAGATTATTTTTATTTAATATGATTAAAATAAATCTCCATATCTCACAATACATCAGGAAGAAAATCTGGTAAAAGTGGTATAGTAACCAATCTAACTTCTGTACGAATTGGTCTATTAAATCTTATAAATACGTGAGATTGATCATGTGATTCACTTATATTTTCTTCACATTTACTACAAATATCAAAATTTGAACATTTTCCGCACTACCAAAAGGAATATATATGTATATTAATAAATTAAATTAAACATGAACGTTTTAAAAAAAAAGACATCTTTGTTACTTTATATCTGATCCCATGAATTGGAACTTGTCCACAAACATCACAACCAACTTCCTCATGAACAAACCCTAAAAAAGGATTTTCTTTTAATTAGACGATAAACATCAATCAAATAAAATCAAAAAAAAAAATACCTTGGTTACGATATCTAAAAGGTGATAATAAAGTTATTCTTGAATCAATATGTATAGGATTTCGAATTTTTAAAAATACGTGATTGTTATTATGTTCTGATCCTATACAATAAGCACAGAGATCGAAATCCGCGCAATGTCCACACTAAATAGATAAAATAAAATTTATTTTCATACAAATACTTGTGTGTATATTACATACCTACTTTATAACGAAACCCTCTTATAATTTCATTGCATGAATTACACCTAACATTATGATGAACTAATTCTACAAAAATTGCAGAGCATTGTAAACCAAATTGATTCATTGATTCTTTATCGCAGTAGAATAATCCATTAACACTCCCTTCATACTCTTTTTCACAAAAAAAACCCACCTTCAGTATTTACAACTCTTCCAAGTTTCAAATAATTTACTTCTTCCTGTAAATCTTTAATTTGCTCACTAAGAGTATAATTTAAACTCATTACATCATCTTTCTCTTGATGGCAGTTAACAGTTTCATTTCTTAATCGGTTACTTTCTCGTTTTAAGTGTTCCAATTCTATTTCATTGTTGGTCATAAGTGTAATTTTATTTTTCAATGATTCATTCAAAGTTTTAACCCCTTCCAATTCTAATTCACGTTTATACAGTTCTGATTTTAAATCTCGAATTATTTCTTCCTGTAAAATCGCTCAAAGTTAAAAAGAAGTGTAAATGACGTGTTAATTATCAAAAAACATTCATTATTATACCTCTTTTCTTAAAAATCTTGAAGTGTCCATTTTTGAAAAATAAATTATTCCCCAGTTTGATAAATCAAATCAATTCAAGAAATATAAATCCCAAAGTTAAAATTGCTTGTCATCAAAGAAAATAAAATCAAATCGACTTATACCGATCCCATATTACTACCGTGAGAAAATACTCCTAATGCGTGAGTAAATTAACCAAATTGGGTCTTTGCGAAATCCCCATCACCAATCTTCATTATAAATGTTAATCGGCATCTACAAAAAATTACCTTTTGGACTCGAGAACTTTTTTATCTTTTGAAGATTCATTAAACGTACGAGATTTAAGTGTCACATTATATAAAGGTGTATAAACTTTTAAACAAATCCATTTATTTTTATTGTGATAAAATAATGATAAACCAAGTCAATCAAAATAAAGAAAATCTGTGATTATTGGCAAAACCCAATGTCTATAAAATAAATAATTATATTTACAAACAAATATAATATACTTTTTTTTTAATACCGATAAAATAAATCCAAATAAAATCAATTTCGTTTCATCCACCAATTTATTTCATCCGTCCATTAAGTAAATAATTAAAATAAAATCCTAAATAAATTATCAAAACCTTTTTTAAAAAAAAATAACAAAAAGAAAAAACGAAACAAAAAAATGATTACTTATTAAACTAATACAAATTCGGTGAGATCATTTTCTACAGAATTTAAACCAATATTGGAATTAATTTCATTTGAAATTAAATCTCGATTGGGTTCTGTAAAATGGTTTGTACGAATAGAAGTTCTACAATTTCTTGAAGGTGAAGTGGGTGAAATTCCTTTATTGGTTGACATCTCTCTTTGTTTAGAAAATGAATCATTAGTTGACACGTTCCTTTGCTTCGACGATAAAGAATTGTTATCAATAGTTGACATATGCCTTTGCCTTGATGACAAAGAAATGTTGCTAGTTGGCATATTTCTTTGTTTCAATGATAGAGAATAGTTACTAGATCTTTGCTTCGATAATAAAGGATTGCTACTGATTGACATATTTCTTTGCTTCGATAGTAAGGAATCATTATCTAATTGGGCTTCTTTTAACAAATCAATTATTCCTTTTGATTCACGACATTTACTTTGGCATAAATAGTGATCATCTAGTTGAGCTTCTTTAAGTAATTCAGCCAACGTCTGTGATGAATCTTTTGAATCATCAAGTTTTCGATTTTGTCTACATAAATAAACCCATTGCTGTGGTGATGATGAACATCTTTCTTCTTCCCCTTTATTTGCAGGATAAACGGGTTTTGGCTCTTCCTCTTCTGAAAAATAATCCTCTTTTGCTGGTAATAATTCACTCAGTGATGAAGATAGATGTGTCGGTGAAGGTACACCTAAATAATTTTTATGATGATTATCGTAAATTTTCGATTTTTCTGGTGACATGACCAAAAGGTATTTTGATTCTGCATTATCTTCAATAATATTTGTTTTTTTAGATGACTTGCGTATATCCTTCTTATCATTGGATTTGTCCGTCACCACAATATTTGAATCATGCCAAACCGAAGATCCCATCATTTCGACTTCCATCTCATCACTTTCTCCATTATTTATATCATCATCACCGTCGAGCTTTATAATTGGTAATAATTGATTATTTTTCTTTTCTAATACAAAGGATCTCCAAATCTTCCAAACCTTTTGGGCAATTCTTCTCTCTTTACTTTTCATTAAAAGTTTAATAAGTGCATATTCAGAGGAATGACAAGATCTCGGAGTTTCGACCAATCCTGTAGGGAAAGGTATTTCGTAGCCTGGAGGGATCGATAATAACGTTATAGAAAAATTATCTTTGGGAAAATAATATTCGTTCCATAAAGTGATGAACCTTGCTCCCGTATCGGGTCTTAAAACTTCCTTTTTCCATTTATCATCAAACCATACACTAATATTATTTTGATTTTCATATTGGGTATTTTGATAATACCTTGGATTTCTAAACCATTGTTTATGTTCTCTAACCCATGACCAAATGCTTTTCGTCCTTTCTCTTAATTGAACATATTCTCTTTCACATTCGGAATTACAAAGAAAATCACCGTAAGGCGAATTTCCTGCTGCAGCTTTTGCCAAACATAAAAGGAAAAAATCATTATATTCAAATGATGAAGGAAACTGTTGCAGCAAATGATGCAAACATGTTAGGAATAAAAGAAACACTGGTGCGGGTGCTGATTGCACTGCAAGTGGCTGTTGACAATTTGGTCTCGTAGATGATTGTTGTTCCTCTCTAGGCGGAATTAGAGAATCATCGTTTCGAATATTTGTTGGGAGGTCACCACGAGCTCTAAATGGATGTCCATGCGCGATCCATTCTTTCTCTATTAATACTTGAAATCCTTTTATAGTTCGGTAAAATGGATCCAACATTATTTGTGACAAAGACACTAATTGAGTCGTTCTATCCCAACCATCCGTGCAATGCTAAGAAAAAAAAAAGAAAAAAAATTTTATAAAATTTATTATAACGAATATTTATTAAAAAAAAAAAAATTATAGTTTACTCTCAAAATACCTTTTATACGTACCACTAAAACACTTGCATCTTCGTCAATGATTTTTCCGACGACACCATCTTTTCCACCAGCAGCTTTTAACAAATCAGCAACGTGACCTAACCAACCAGTAGATTCTAATACTGAGAACCATTTAGAGGACGATGCATGAGATGCGATAGCATTTAATAAGGATGAATGAGAAGAAGAAATGGCGTGAATGTTTGACAGACCAAGAAATAGCAATGTCGTATTTGGCGGATAATTTTCACATTTTTCATATCCACCGCAAGCTAAACCATTTGAAAATGCAGCAGAATAGCTTCTTGCGTCCAAAATACAAATTTTTGTATTTGTACACTTTTCTTGTAATCCAATATATTTTTTATGAAGGATTTTATCATTTTTACCATTACTATTATTATAAATTTTATTTGAATAGGATTTTGAAATATTAGCTATATGTTGTTGTTGTTCTTCGTTTACTGCTTTAAGCACTTCTTTTATTAATAATTCATCTTCTATACCTCTCCAACCTAAAATTGAAACCATTGGTTGGCCGCTTCTCATTAATACGTGATGACCTCTTTTCCAACAAATTATTGGGAATCGCCCATTTTTTCTGAATCTTACAAGTTTTTGGAAAAATTCAGGGCTTGATTGTAATGCTGTTGAAATTTCATAAGAATCACTCTTTGCACTTGTATCAAAAGATTCGCATGCAAATATTGCATCCTTTTTAAGGATACGGGAAGGTAAAATAAAATCCTTTGGATATGTTGGCGACAACGAAAAGTCATCATTGTATGATGCAATGCTCCTGGTAGAAGTTTAAAAGTTAAGAGAAAAAAAAAGGATTAAAAAAAAGTCCAATATTACAAAAAAATAGGGTCTTTTTCACTCACCATGAATCTTCGCTCAATTGCATCCTTCCAAATTCTTTTTGAATTTTATAACCATTAGACCATCCTAATTTATGATATCGTTTGTAAATATTTTTATCTAATCCTCTCCGTAAAAAATCGTCATCAACTTCTTCCTCACTACTAATTCCACCATATAATTCTTCAAGAATTTTTTCTTCATTAGTTAATTGTCTTCTTTTTTTTACTCTGATTTCCTCATTTTCATTATAATTATCAACATTATTATTAACTTCACTTTCGCCCATGCGAAACGCGAAAACACTTTCGATACTATTTGGTTTAATAAACTTTTTCAATGTAAAAGAAAAGTCATGACACAAAGAATTTGCTGTTGCCCTATTATGAATAAGACCAATACCATTATTACTAGGTTTTGGTTTAGAAAATTTAATCAAATATTTTAACGGGGAAAGTTTTAGTGATATAATTATTTGATTTTTTTGTGATTCATCAAGCGTTGAAATTGACAAATGCGGAATTTGTACTGTACGTGGATGACTTGTGTCTACTATTGATGACAATGATGACGTAGAAGAGTATAAAGATTTTGAAAGATTTTTCATTGGTTGATAACAAATTCGATAATTGGTAACTAATATTGTGGACTAATTTTTCGTGATCATAAATTCGGGATTCGAAAAGAGGAGGAAAAAAATTTAAAAAAAAAAAAAATTTAAAAAAAAATTTGTAAATATAAATAAATAGTCATAATAAAAAAAGGTAAGGTAGTATCAATTCAAATTACAATACCTTATTGATGATATCTGTCAAGTTATATAATTCACCAATACCAACATCACCACATTCTGTAAAGCCCCCTTCGACGGTTGCTTCAAATAATTTTATTGAAGTCGTTGTTTCTAATATTTCAACAGTTTCACCAGGTAAAAGTTCTATACCCAGAGGGAGATTTCGTTTTATATTTTCCAAACTTATTCCCATTTTTCTAAACATAAAGGGATATGAGGAAACGTATTATTATTATAGTATTATCTTTATTTTTCCGTTGGAATAAAAGTGAAGTAAAAAAAATTTTTTTTTTGATCGTCAAATAAAAAAAAAAATATGAAAAAAAAAAATTGGGCAACATTAAAATTTTTGAATGCCTTACTTTATATAGAATAAGAATAAATCACAAATCGAAAAAAATCATCGGATTGTATAAAATCTTGTATTTTTTATTGTTGTTTATCAAAAAAAAAAAAAAAAAAAATAATGTATAAAAAGGGAAAAACTATGTATTTAAAAAAATGAAAGAAATTGAGGAAAGGAAATATTTTAAAGAATTTTAGTTCTTTTAAAATTCTGTAATTGTCATAAAATGAACACTTCTATGAGTTTCTTTTTGGTAAAAAAATTATAATAAAATAAAAAGGTATGAGTAATAATTTAAAAAAAATTTTTTTCGGCTGAAAAAAAAACTAGAATTTGTTCTTGATAATAAAAGGAAAATCTTTCAATAACATTCTTACTGGTTCGCTTAATAGTTGAATATAAGTTTGCACATTACACAAAAATAATGTAAAATGAAACACATAATAAATTTCTTGTAGCAAATTACAACCAATTCATGTGTAATGAATGAATAAGTTTAGTAATGTTGGTCAAATGTTATTTATTATTATAAGAGTATATTTAAAATAGTTTGGATCAAAGAATTGTCTCTCGTTACAGTCTGTTTATTATGCAATTTGACTGAACAAGAAAGAATTTCTTCTTTTCGCGGATGATGCACATTGAAATCATCAAAGATATGCAAGTACATTAAAATTTTTGTAATTTTTTTTTTGTATCATCATTTTTTCATTTAGATAAGATATTGGTTCCTGATATATTTTATGATAAGGACACTATAACAATGGGAAGCGTACCAAAAAGGAAGAAGAAATGAAAACATTAATTCCATTTGTTCTCGTGATATTTAACAAATGTTCGGTAAAACTCGGTAAGAGAGAAAAAATCTTGTACTTTTAAAGAAGGTAAAATGTAACAAAGACGTTAATTTTTTTTGGAAAGAGAATTGCTTATAAAATTATTCCATTCCTCCTAAAATTCTAAAATAAGGAAAGAATGACAAATGATGTTTTGACAATGAATCAAAAATGGTAAGAACAATGATATGTATTTGTGCCGCAGTATAAACAGCTTACTCAAATTTATCATCATATATATCCTCCTGTTGAGATTGTTTGACTTCACCTTTTCCGCTTTCTTTTTGTTCTCTTCCCTTATCTACCATTTCTTTCTTTCCCGCAGCTTTACCGATGGCTTCCTATTTTATTAAACAAAATAAAAAAAATAAAAAAAGTTTAACACGCGTGAAAAAGAAAAGTTACGCGACAAGTCAACCAAACAAAGGTCCAAAATTTACCTTCAGAGATCCAGCAACGCTATCTTTCGCACCATGAATATAAGATGGTTTTTCATATTCTTTAATTTTATCACCTCCAGTTGTCTCCTCTTTTTCAGTACACGTTCCGGTATCATTTTGTTTACCTTTTCCAGCATGTCTCACGTTATCATGTTGTTCCCTTGGAAGTGAGATGATTGGACCTAAAGTTTCAACAAAATTTTGACTTTTAGTAAATGTGCCTGCGTCAGACATTCGTTTGACCGCGCAGTAAATTTTGGTCTTACCTGGCATCATCGTAGCGCCAACGTAACCAATCGGTACATCATCACCTTCGAAATCGGGCAATGGATTGTATTTCTTGTTGGACTCCATAATTTATTATTATTTTTTTTTTCCCAAAATATGGTTTCTTATATCATTTTTCTTTAATAATAAATTTCATGATATCATTAACATGCCATTGACTTTTTTATCATTATGACGAATGATAAATGTCATATCATGGGAAGTTGACATTTCATTAATTCTTCCAATCTCCATTGGATGAGAAAGTCAAGAATTAAAAGGCTATTGTTTTAATTTCAGGAAATATTTTGGCTACTCCCAAACTCAGGTGATATTCATGAATTTTCACGTGCAAATACACGAAAGATCTACTGCATCAAAGACCTTTTTTGTTATTCAAATTAATCAAATTAATCAAATAAAGATAATCTAAAGTTATCACACCGATTTACTTTTTTCAGTGTAACCTGCAAAATTTTAAACTATTATTTAAACCAGCATTATCTTCACTTTTTTTTTTTTTGAAATCTGATAACGATGGAACATCTATCGCCCTCTTCCAGCAAAAACAACAATAATGATGTCGATAACAAGAGTAGTATTCTAATTGAGATAAAACAATTAAAATCTCGATATTATGAATCGGAGTTAGAAAGGGAAGGGTTAAATTCTTTAACGGAATCTTTAAAATCAAAGATTCGTGCACTACAGCAACAGATTTTTGCCCAAGAAAGTACGATAAAATCTGCCCAAGATTTAAAATCACAAAAGGAAATATTATTAGAGCAGATAGAAAGGTATAAGCAAAAGATTACCGATTCAGAATCATATTTAAACACCATTAAAAAAGAAATCGTTTCACTAAAAGAAAATAATAATGGATATATAAGAAAATACAATGAATTGCAACAACAAAATGTTCAAACACAACAAAAGAATAATTTATTAGAAGTGGATAAGCAACAATTATCTAAAAAATTGAAAGAAATTGAAGAAGATAATAATTTATTAAATAAGGAATTGAAACAATGTAATGAACAATTCAATCTAATTGAAAAAAATAGACAAGAAATAAAAGATTCTTTTGAAAAATTGGATTTAGATCATCGTAGATTACAATGTAAAAATTCGGAATTTGAATTAGAAATTGAAGCTTTACAAAGTGAAGTTAAAAGACTTCGCGAGAAATGTGTCTTGCAATATCATGAGATTGATGAATCAAATAAATTAAATGATAAATTAAAAAATGATATTCAAGCGTTAAAAAATGTGATCGTCGAGCAAGACCGTGTCCTTCGGGAAAGAAATCAACAAGGTAAATTTCTTTTTGTGTGAATTTATTAAATTTAAATCTTTTACAGGTGAAATTTCTAGTTTTTATTATTTATTTGATCTTGTGGATGGTTGGATGTGTATTGATGGTTCATATAAATTGAATTCTTTTCAGATAATGGAGTGCATCCGGCATATTGTAACGTATGCAACAAGTATATAGTGGGAATTCGATATAAGGTATATTCCTTCATTTAATCGTTTCTCATACAATTTTCAAGTTTCTTTTCTCAATGTGAGTTCACTTGTAGTGTGGACACTGTGATAATTATGATATATGTTCAAATTGCGAAACATCAAACCATAATCGCGATCATGTATTTATTAAGATTAAAAGTCCAATTGGAAATGATAGATTTGCCAGAACTGCCTTATTACCCGAATTTAAATTAATCGAACAAAATGAACAAGGTAAAAAAGAATATATATCATTTTTATAATTATTCTTTTGAATGTCACTTTACTTAATATATTCATTTATTTATTTATTCCTAGATATCGATCATAAAACCGTTTGTAACGTTTGTCACAAAAATATCAAAGGAGTTAGGTATAAGGTAAATCAATTATTTTTATTTTTATTTTTATTTTTTGAAAACAAAAAAGGAGATTGATGAATATGGTTTCCTTTTTTTGATCATTTAGTGTGGACATTGTCTTAAATTTGAAATGTGCGTAATTTGTGAGGCATATCCATTCAATTTGCATGATCCCACTCATGTATTTATAAAAATTAAAAGGCCTGTACAAATTGATTCTAATGAAGCTCTATTACCTTTGGAATTTCGTCCTATTATTACTAAAGCTGCTGGAGTGTAGAGGTGTTTCTTTTTGATGTTTTTTATTATTATTAAGATATTAGTTTAAAATGCTGAGAAATTCTTTGCTGTATTTCTTCTCTGTATTACAAAATGATATGAATTCACAATAAATAATATGCTTAATAATTAAATAAACCCATTGAGTGTGTATTAAAATTCATAATTTCGTCAATCATTACAAAATCTGGTTCTCCTCCAAAGCACGACCATTTAAGAAACAATCGACCTATATAGTGGCGTCTATATGTCGTGGATGCTTACTGACGCCGTCCATATATACTACCTTGATACTTAATCCAACCTTTTTAATTATTTTTTTTTTCTGCACTGCCAAACTTTTTCAAATAGGAATGTCTATATGATATTTCCTAATTAAGGTTTAATAAAGTAACAATTATGGAATATAAATATATTCAGTAAATATCCAGCTAATACATACACATTAACCAATTTTAAGATATACAGTTAAACCTTGATATAGCGATCCCTTGATATAGCGAATTTTTAAATCAAATATATTAAAATTACCTTACTATAGTGAACTAGCCAATTAAATTCTTTAAAAATTTCGTTATAAGCTTATAACGAAGTTGATATCCAGATCCTAGAATTCACTGTATACAGAAGAAGATTAATGAGAAAATGCAATTTAGCATGGCAGCTGGAATAAATGATAATTTTGTTTTTATTTACTTTAACTGTATAATAATACCTTTTCTCATTTTCTTGTATAGTGACCACTAAATGAAGCAATAGTTGTTTGAGCCTATTAATGTGCAAATCTATTAACAAATAATTTGCTATCTCTTTAGTATGCTATATCTGTGATATTATTAATCACTCACCTAGTCATATGTGTTGATATATCTATAAGAATCAAGTAGTGAATTTGTCAAGTTTCCTAATGGTAATGTTTTTCTAACAATCTAAAAATGATTACATATTCAATTAATGAGATGAATATTTGGTATTGTATTAGTATTCAAAAATAACTATATTAATCCTTCTCTAACAATATGTGCAGAAAAAAACATATGTATAGAATGAAAAGAATTGTATTTATCTAATACTTTATCATAAATCAGTATTGTAATATTAAAACAATAAAATCTATGCTATATTCTTGTATATTTCTTATAGCTAATTATAATATTTCAAGGTATATGTAATTGTAAAGACTTCAGATATGCCTTTAACTTATATATTTTAATAATAGGTTTATAAAAAGATTGTAAAATCAAAATATATATAAATTTTTTAAAGGTAGAAATAATAAAAAGTAAATATCATTATGAGTATATCAAACTTATATGGTATTGCTTAGAATTTTTAATGCTTTAACTAAATTAAATAATCTATTATTAGAAACTAATTATCATATCCACAAGTATTAAAGATAAAAAATGTTTTATTAAACTCTTTTAATAGTAATAGTATATAAATACAAATTGATTATATATTATCACACAAATATTAAAGTTAGAGTTTCAAATAAGCTAAGCCAACTTTTGAGTCAAGTCAAGTCAAGTCAAAAAAATTTGACTCATTTAACTTGAGTTGAGTTATTCAAGTTAAGTCTGACTTGACTTAAGATAACTCAAGCTAAATTCAAGCCAAAAGTTGAGTAAAACTCAAACACAAAGTCAAGCCTAAAATAAATCAAAATTTAAGCCTAAAGTCAAGCTAAACTTGAGTAAAATATAACAAATTTTTTTAAAGAATAAAAAAATCATTTAAATATAATGATATACAGTTATATGAGTCGATTATGAAGTCTACTGACTGAAAAATAGACTTCAACACATATAGCAAGATTTTAGGTATTTGAAGAATAATGATTTAACTTATAACTTTAAGAACTTGTTCATGTTAATAAAACTATTGAATTAACAATATGGGAGGTTTGCTAGGAAAATGGGACTCTGAGACTAAAAAATTTTTTTGAATAAATTAAAAAATCAAAATAAAC